TGCTCGACAAAAAAAAAAGGTTAAAGAAAATAAAAGATAAGCATAGTACACACTATGGTTAAGAATCTGCTTTGTTTAGGCTAGGACTCGCGTCAAAGATAATTGCTGGGCGCCAAATGCGTGGATACTTGTGGTAAATAAATAGTTGCCCCAAAATACGTAATAGTGAGAAAATACATATACAAAAGGTGTGTGCACATCCGCTCCAGATTCAGTTCTCCAGCTGCGGCGCGATGTCGCTTACGTCTCGAAGTACTTGTAGATAGCAGTTACATAGGACATGACCTGCGTCCAGTCGGGTCGCTCAATTTGACACATGTCGTTGATGTTCTGCGCGCAGATAAATTAAGATCGATTAATTTAGAAATTTATAGCCAATGAAAGTACTGAGTGGACCCACCAGCGTGGTGCCAATGCCCACCGACTCGGCGGCGGCAAAGGCTAGCGAAAAGTTGCGCCGCTTGTTGGTCGGACTGAGTGTGTCGTAGGGTATGCGATCCGGCAGATAGGAATGTAGTATGGCGCAGAATGCGAGCCCATCGTTCCACGATGAGCTGAAGTTCGTGATGTCAATGTTGCGATAGCCAACGGTTTTATTCTGGCACCACTTGAGCAGCGCATTTCGCTTTGAGCCACCGTTTTTGGCCAGCATATTGAGCGGATCCTTGCGCTCACCTGCTCATAGATATTACATTAATAACAAACTTTAAAAGAATTTAAGACCAGCTGGAGGCGACCACCTACCGCTGATGAAGGATTTTGAGACGTTGCCAAAACTAAGGCTGTTCACGAGGGCGCTGCTGGGCGTCTGCACTGGCGTTGTCAGACTGGGCGGCTGCTGTTGCAAGCTGCTGGGCGTGTTTGGTGTGGAGGGCTGCGATGATGATGTCGCACTTGTCATTGACTGTTGCGACAATTGCTGCTGCAGTTGCGGCGGCTGCTGCTGCTGTTGTTGCTGCTGTGTTGCTTTGGTAGTGTTAGCTGCTGTTGTTGATGTTGTTGTGGGTGTTGCAGCTGCTGCTGCTGCGTTAACGTTCACATGTAGATTGCTGCTCTGCAGCACGGGCAAGCGCAGCTGTACGGATGAAGAAAATAAAAATGTTATTTAATTAAGAGCACACATTATAGTATTTAGAAAAACTTACGCTGTCGTGCCAATCGCTGGTTACGGGCAATATAATGGGCGTGTTGCCAGATTCGGGCGTGCCGCTGTTTAAGCTGGACGTTGAGCTATAATGCGATTCGGTCTCATCCGCCTTGCCCTGCTGTAGTATGGAATGCAAGAGATAAGTTGGCGCATTTTGTGAAAGAATTTTGCTCACCTGTTTGTTGTTCTCGATGCTTTCGATCAGCGTTTTGACAGAGAGTCGCGAATCCTGCCGACTAAAGCTGAGTTTGCTGCGCCGTGAGGCCATCTCCTGCTGCACTCTGGACAGCACCGATTGTTGCGTCTCCGTCTGCTGCAGTTCTGTAAGGAAGGTAAATAGAATTTGCCAGCACAACAGTTGGTTTGCCTTGTTTACTTACGCTGCTTGGTTAGCTTCTCCAGCTGCTGTTCGAGTAGCCGGATCTTCTCCTTTTGCGTCTTGTTATCGAGCACCAGCTGCTCGCGTGCGCTGAGCGCCTCAGTCTTGAAATCGTTGGCAACTCGCACTGTCATTAGGAGATCCGCCTGGAACTGTTGCCATTCGTCGGCGTCGCGTTTGCGCAGCTGTGTCTCCTTTTCTAGGCGGGATTCGCTATCGCTAAGCTGTAGCTGCACATCGCCCAAATGTCGCTGCGTTTCGCTCAGCAGCTCCTGAAGCTGTGCCTTGTCCTCCTGATGGCATTTGCATTGCACCTGCAGCTCGGCGACACGCTCCTCTAGTGTCTGGCAGTCGCCGGCCAGTTTATCCTTTTCGCATTGCAGCTGCTCCAGCCGATACTCGAGATGTGACACAGCGCACTTGGCATTATTTTTGGCTACCTTGCATTCCTCACTGAGACCGGCCACTTGTTCGCGCAATCGCCGCAACTCCGCCTGGCTGCGCGACCACTGATCCTGCAGCTCGGCGAGGCGCTCCTCAAGCGTATCTTTCTCCCGGCGCGCCGCATCGAGCACATCGCTAAGATCAGTCTTATCCCCACGCGCCAGATCCGCTTCCAGCTCTTCGATCTTGGAGCGCGCATTCTCCAACAGTGTGCTCAGCCTGCTTATCTCAATAGCACGCTGTGAGATCTCCTCTTTGGCCGACGAGAGTTGCGCTTCGCTCTGCTTGCGTTCCGCATTGGCCGCATCCAGCTGTGAATCAAGGAGAGCGTTCCGTTCACGCTGTCGCTGCTGCTCCAGCTGTACGGCGTCGCGCGATTGCCGCAGCTCGGCCAGCTCCGCGTTCAACTCCTCCTGCTTGAGCAACAAAGTCTCGCGTTCCTCCTGCGATGTCTGTACCAGTTCGAGCAGCTTTTTCTCCCGCTCCGAGGTGGACACCTCGGCCGCCTGCTTTGTGTCGCGCAGGAGGAGCTCCTGCAAAGTGTTGATCTGTGTGCGCGACTCATTAAGCATTTCCGTTTGACGGCAGAGCGACTGAAAGAGCACATCCTTCTCCTCGGCGAGACGTTCGTTCTCCGTTTGCGTATCGGTCAGCTGTGTCTGTAGATCGGCCAGCTCCTGCAGCGTCGCCTGGAGCTCCTCATTGGTGGAGTAGTGCGTCTCCTCCATCTGTATGATCTTATCCTGCAGGCACGCTACTGAAATCTCACTAGACGACGAGTGTTTGTCCCAGTCCGGCGTGAGGCATGGCGTACCATCATGCGCCGTCTCGTTTATCTACGGATTAGAGTGTTTGTTATGAGATGTGCTCTACATGATGAAAGGTATATAAATACTTACATTGGGCAGTGCTATGGAGGCGGGTGCTGAGCTATGCAAGCGCTGCGAGTCTTGGATGATCTGGTGCTTCTCCGCGTCCGACAATGGCGAGTTAACAACGTCCCGCAAACGATTGCGCAAAGATTCATTTTCATATTTCAAATTGCCAATTTCCATTTGTGTTTTCTCTTGTTGATTCTGTAAGCAGAGAGCGACTGGCAGGTGAGCGTATTGTATATTTTTATAATGCTGCTTCTTATAACGTCGCAAAAAAAAATAATACTGAGTGCTAATTATATGTGTCAACAGTTTTCCGGCGAATGAAAACTATGTGAGTTTCAGTTAACCCCTTGTATGATAATCCATTCAACAAGGCGACGTTTGAACCGAAACCAGAATTCCAGATTAATTTCTTAATATTAACCAAGCCCTTTAGCAAACCAGTTGCCGGAAAAAAATACCCGAAATTAAATATATTTGTTTCTCCAAATAACAATCTTTTCAGTAAGACTCAGTTCCCAAGCGTGAATATCTCGTGTCGCCACCATTCGATTTATCTCACTTATTTTGAGTAGACATTAAATAAAGCCCTATATGAAAATTTCGACAACATGCTATTATATTATTATATGGTAAAAACCAAGTTTTGTGGAAAATCTGGTTCACAAGATTTTGCCCCCCTGATTTGAACAAATTGTTAAGTTTCTTTCAAGGTATTAAATCGACTAAATGTATGGCTAATAATTTACTATGTGAAACTCTGAGTGCATACTTTTCGCATTGACTGTGCTGTGCTGGGCGTTCGCCGAGCGACAATTTCTCAATTAAAGGAGCGCAGAGCATATAGGAACATATTGAATGTCAATAAATTGGTTAAAGTAACGAAGCGCAACGACGTCAGTTCCAGAGCAAAACGAACACTAATAACAATATCAATAGGAAATGGCAACAACAACAACAACAGCAACAACGACGACAACGACAACGAGAACAACAACAAGGCAATAGTTAGACAACAGTTGACAGCCTTTGTGGTTAGTTGACGAACCGACACGCTGTCTGGGTGACTACAGTGAAAGCTCACTTATAAGTTCTTGTCCTGACAAAACTGTCAAACTGGAATTTGGTTATTAATGGTGGTGGTTCGATCTCTAGAGATCAAAATTGGTTGACTGCATCTTTCAAATTGAGGCGTTTGCAATTTCGAGGAAAACATAAATTGATTCAAGCTAATTTGATTTAAGGGAGCTGTCTGTCAGTCGGGCTTTTACTGTAGTTTTCTCTTCTTCTTCTTTTCGTTTTGTTGTTTTACCTGCATCTTGAGCAGATCACCCCTCAGTTTGGTCACCTCGCTTTGGTATGGCAGCAGCTCTGTGATGCGCATCTCCAGCTGCAGTTGCTCGCGTCCAAGTCGCTCCAGCTGTTTGTGCAGCTCCTGCATTTTATTGTTAGCCTGGAATTGTGTTGAATATTGGATTAGTTCAATATGTTTAATATGTTGTTGCTTAGCGTAACGCACCTCTAACAGTTGTTGTTGCTGTTGCTCGTTGTTGATGAGTTGTTGCTGTTGTTGCTGCTGCTGCTGTTGTTGTTGTTGTTGCTGCTGATAGCTGCTAGCGGCAACGGCTGCAACGGCAACAGCTGCTGCTGCGGCTGGAAACGCGTTCGTTGCTGCGCTGCTGTTGCTGCTGCCGTTGCCTGCAGCGCTTGTCGTTGTTGCTGCTGCTGCTAATTGCTGGTAGAAATCAGCAGCGGCAGCGGCAGCAACGCCGCCATCTTGCAATGCGGCCAATGCGCCGTTGCTGCTGTTGTTATTATTATTGCTGTGGCTGCTGTTGCTGTTATTTGGTGTTGGTGTTGGGACAGCAGCAATGGACGTCATCAGTTGATGCTGCTGCTGCTGCTCGAGTTGTTGTTGCTGTTGCGGCAATTGCTTTGGCTGCTTATGTCCTTTAAACTTTGACTTCTTCTGCGGCAACGTATTGCTCAGCTGTTGTTGCGGCTGGCGTCGCTGCTGCTGCAATTGCTGCTGTTGTTGTGTTGTCAGCAGCAGCGCAGCCTCGTCACCCACATCGACGCCGCGTTCGTAGGTCGCGTCGTGATTTGAATAAAATGTTGTTGTTGTCGCTGCTGACGCAGAGTTGTTCAGTGCTTGTTGTTGTTGTTGTTGTTGTTGCTGCTGCTGCTGCTGCTGTTGGGACAGTTGCTGTTGCTCATGCGCTGTGTTAAGGGATGTGCTGGACTGTGATTTCTGTCGATTGTTGTTGGAATGCTGCGGTTGTTGCTTGTGCGATGAGTTATTGGAGGAGGCAGAACTCGAGGTTCCTTGTCCTCTGCGGAATAATGATTTTAATTTAATCATTTTGTGGAATTGTTAGCTACGTTTGTCGTTTGTGTTTTTTGTTGGTAGTTTGCAAAACGTTAATCATTAACTTTCAACTTTGATTGAATTTGTTATAGTTGTTGTTTTATTTTTTTATTTATTTATTTATCGTTGCTCTTCAAGATATTTTGGCAACGTCGTCGTTCGTTTAATCGTTCTTAAAATTAATCGTTATCGCTGTTTATGCTGTTATCACACATTTAAGTTAGTTTTAACACTCTGCTCATTTTATTTATTTATGTGGGTATGTTTCGATACTGATGCCAGTTAATGTGCAAGAGAAGAAAGTACAATTTCTGCAAGCCATTTTCGCATTTAATGCAATGCAGGTGAAGGCGATTGAGTGGCAAAACCCAACGATGAATGAAAGTTCAAAGCAGATGCTAATAAAACAGCGCGCAACTGTTGCATGCCAACTAAAAACAATAACTCGTTTGTGTTGTTGCTGCTGCCGTGGTTATTGTTGTTGACTCTGACAATCGCATGCATTGTTGTTATTGCTGAGCCGCGCTCTCAGCGTGTGTGCGAGATGTGTAAGTGGGGGAGACGCCAAGAATGTAAGATTAGCCGAGTGAAAGAGTGAGAGAGTAACAGCGCACTGTAATGTTAACTAACAGCGGGCAAGTCAGAACCATTAAGATAAAAACAAACAAGAAAAATCACAGCCACATCATTAATATGCAATTAATAATAATTCGCAATTGAAATGCAAAGCACAAATGCGACTCAAACTGCAAACGTTGACGTCTAGTTAAATGTCGAACGTATATGCCTGTATATGCAATGCATGCTTTTGTCAGTTTGTTTGTGTATTTGCTCATATGGTTCGTTTTTCATTGTCATCAATGTGGCCAGCGTGTTGATTACTCATGTAGCGAATTGAGTACTTGAAATGTGCAATAAGATGGGGAAGTACTACTCGCAATCTCCCATATATACAAGCCAACTATACATTCATACATAAGCATCATAAAAACGGCTTCTAGCCCGTTTATGGCCGGCCGGCCGAATATTTAAGATATTGTGAACTAAGGTTGTGCTAAGAGATGCAACACATTTTGCACACCCGCCGAAGATGACGTATTAAACTGATCGTTTAAACAGATCATTCAAAAATATAAACGCATTACATATACAAATAAAGGACAAATTAAATTATTAAAAATGTTATAATTAATTGATTAGTTTAATCAATTGATAGCCCTTATCTTATATTTGTGCAACCCTAGATACAAACAACTGTGACGTCAAGAATATCGCAGTTTTTGCGGACACATCTTTCCATCTCAACTGAATCTACTGCTGCCCACACGACGTACACGCAAATGTTGTGTTTATTTTGCTTAAAGGCTTTCAACTTTTGGCGACACAGCGACATTTAAATTGAAACACAAACATAAAAAATGACATCATGCACGCAAAATCTGATTTTTGTTGGACTGTCGCAATTTCGTTAATTACAGGCAACCAACATGCGAGTTAAATCAGGTGCGTGGGTCATTATACATATATGTACATTTGTAGCAATATTTATACATGTGTATGTCTTAATACAGACATGACCGGACGGTGGTGTGAGTGGTTTAAGTTTATCTATTGTTTGCATTGCGATAAGTGAAATTGCCATTAGATAATTACAAATTACCGCCCAAGAAATGAGAACTGAGCTCGTGAAATCTTTTCGCGTTTCAATAGTAATTAATATAATAATTAAATATGCATACCACGCGCGCACATTTAGCACACATTTTGCAACACTGCACATGTTGCAGCAGGAGAGCGAGTGTGTCATACAAGCAGGATGTAAGCATGCGTGTGTGCGTGCATGTTAAACAAAATTACAAATGAAACTGTTGCTGCGGCAACAACTACAACAAACTGTCGTTGTGTCTAAGAAGACGCGAGTAAATTAAGAAAAAAAAATGAAGAACAGCAACACTTGATGAATGTCATGCGTGTAATTCATACAGAAGAATAACAAGCAGCACAGCAGCTTGAGCCGTTGCGACCGCATAACAATGAATTCAACACACACACACACACACTTACAAAGAGACATACACGGAGACACGTACACACGCTCTGGATTTCGATATGTTTACACACACACATAACCGCCTTTAATTGTTTGCAACAAATAACTGTAAAAGGTTTTTTGTATACCTTCTTTTTGCACACACATACACATAAATCATACTGAGCAGAGTGCTAGTCATGTAAATAAGTTAGAACGTATTTACAGGGGGAAAAACAAACAAAAAATAAAAGACAAGAGAATAAAAACAGCGCGCACGGAAAAAAGAGCTGAGAAACTGACAACAAACGCGAACGCGACGCGACGCGCGTTTTCTGACCAAGTCAACTGCACGCAGTGTGACCGTAGTTTGCAAACGCAAAATGTTTGCTTCGGCGCGCGCGCCTGTTAATAACAGTGCAATGTTATGTATTTAGATAACAGCGCATGCGTGGCGTGTCTGTTGTCTCTTTACAACACATACATAACGCGCGCAATAAGCAAAATAATTTTAAAATCTAATAGTTAACAAGCAGGCTTCCCATTTGACTTCGACGTTCTTTGCCCGACCCATGCCTATTTCATTTTAAATTATAGGCAAAACCAAAACAGTTCGGCTGTTCAACTATTTCGTATTTTTTTTGTTGTCCCATTTTAATAATTCTGTGCAAACAAAATTTTTGGTGCACAGTAAACGTGTCTTTTTTGCTGTGCTGTTTTGGCAAAGGAATTCCTCGATTTGGATCTACATTATGTCGTTCTTGAAGAATATGTTAAACGGCAACCTCAAGCGAGGCCCCGTGTCAGATGACAAGACAAGAGATAAAGACGTTGACATACAACAAACAGATCTATTCGAGGGTGGACACAAGTTGACGGCGCTGGAGAACATTGGATCCTCCCTGACAACACTGTGGAGCAGTTGCGGATTAAACGTAATATCCAGTAGAGAAAACATCGAATCTCTGGCTGAGCGTAAGTATAGCAAAGTTTTGACTTCACAAAAAGATCACAATTGATCGTCAGCTTTATAGAAAAAAGTAAATCCAACAATACTTCCAATGAAATTGCAAAGGCGACCAATGAAGATACAACCCTAGCTCCAACTTGTAAGTCGTAGCCCGTAGCTGCTCTCTCTCGAAAGCACGAACCAATTAAATTGATATTTGAATCCGAATCGAATCGTTCATTATTCAATAACACCAAATCAACTTGCGAATTAATAAAACCAAATCCACAAAATGCCACATTCTCATCAAAGCAAATTCAACAAATTACTGTCAGAAATGACAAATGAAAATTAATCGAAAAATATACACAATTAAAAATTTATAAATAAATGAATACTTATATCGGCTAATACGTTTTCCTTACACCTGCGAGGGTATAACAATATTCGATACAGAGATATATAGTGTATTCTTTATCAGGACGAATAAAACAGCCTGAAACAGCCTGTCCAGATATGTATATATTTTTGGCCTCGAAAAGTGGAAGATCTTGTCGTTTCTTGGTATTTTGTAAGGCCAATTTTAACCATTTTTTCACTATGGTATCAACTGTTTTTCGTCATATATTTTCAAAATTTTGAACAGACCATTTTATTTTTAGTTTACAATCGCCCGTTGTACTGAAAATATTTCATTTCATACCTATTTTCATATGCAAGATACGGGCTAAATTTAATAACCCAAAATATGATTAGATGACTGGGAACAAAGCTTATAATTGTTGGAGTTGGATTTCCCTCAAAAAGATTTTTAAACAATTTATTAAAACTTTTTGTTGTTTGGTTTGGATTAAATTTATATGCAACTGCAATAGGCAAAGGGAACCTAGCTTAGCCAGTAAAATACTCGCAAAACTAGTAGCAAATCAGAAATTTCAAAATTTTCAGGATCATGAGCTTATAAGCAGATTAGAAATAAATTTGGTATGCATTCTATATGTGCCGACCAACTTCTTCAATATGCATAATCGTGTCCAGCTAAATATATACTATCCTAAGCATATTTAAAATTATTATAAAATCTATTCGAGTTGCTTGCACGGTTTCTGATGGATATTAGTGTCGCCTCTTGGAATGTCAGTAATGGACAAAAGGCGTCAATTACTGAACTCTACAGAATGGGAAGCATTACAGTGGACGAAAGCTGGATGGGGGACGGCACATTTCTGTATCGATTTCACATTGTCGGGTTACCCATGGGAGCGTTTCCCAGCCGCTGATGATGGGGCTCATGGGCCGGGCCAATCAACTGAGAAGCCGGCCGGCCATTGGCTTAATGCCGTCATTGATGACAGTTGAGTTTCATTTTCTTTATACATATATCTGTTTCTTTTGTCTTCTTTGGCATTTGGCAGACAGTCAGACGGTCGCAGCCAAGAATGGGCTCAGCTAGATACCGTAGATAACTCGGGTTCCATTCTGATGTCTTCATTTTACATCGTCTCTGGCCCCTGCCCCGAGACCAAATTATATAGATACGATTGCTTCTAGCGTGTCGTGAGCTTATCGAGCGGACGGACAATAGCAAAAAGAGACGTTTGGGGCCTACCGGAACCGCAAAAGCCACAAACCGCGTCGGCTCTGTGCGTTATTTTTGCAGCTTTACGTCGACGTTTTTATTTTTTTTTATTTTTTTTAAATGTTTTTTATTGTTTAGGTTTCGGTTTTTGGCCAGCCAGTCCGAAGACTCGTTGAGGTCTATGACCATCGGAACACAAACGTCACTTATCGCTGCTTAAAGGCGTCCCCCCTCCCTCCATCGCAGTGGGTGCCCCCACCACCACCCCCACCCCATGATCGCTGGGCGGCACTAACGGATCGCATTACGCCTAGCTTTGGCACCGGCACCTGAGAAAGCCAGTGGGCAGTTAACTAGTCGGACAGTCGGCTGACCAGCGAGCATGACATAAGTATATTTAAAAAAAATAAGCAGAAATGTTTGCGTTGAGCATTCTCGGCTGCTAGATACCCTGCTGAGAAGTTTTGTTCTTTCAATAACAATTAAAATGTTAAGAAAGAAAGTCAATAGATCCGTCAACGGTCATTTTTATGCTCCAATCCAATATTATATTAACCACTTCTCGATTGAATTTAAAAGAAGAATTCGACAGGCATTTGTTGCACCCATTTCCAGCATTTAATGGGTGCAGGGTATTCAAAACCACTAAACCACAAGTCGCCGCCGGTCCAGTCCATGGGCATTCACTCGTGTTTGTTCGTTTGTCTCTCGGTTTTGCCTCAATGTGTGTGTTACGCTTTGGTGCGCCCCCGTTGCCCTACAATTGGGGGTGTACGAGAAGGATGGCCGGTTATGGAACTAAATAGCTGCTTAATATTCAATTGATTGAAGCCAATTACGGTCGCTCAACGATAAATAATAAATACAACAATTTTTTTTCAGCATTAAGCTACAAACAATCTATCATAAAACTGTGCTTAAATGGCGTTCAGATCTGCGGCAGTTTTTGGATAATTAATAAAAACGATTAAGCGGTCAATAGTTCTAATTGATCATTTTTGATCAATTAATGTAACGATAACTCATATTGAACTTTTTAGTCGACTTTTAACAATTTTGTCTGTAAAGCGTTTTTACTAAAATGAATTAATTTTTTGATAAGATACGTGTAGAGAACACCTATGTTAGTAAATCGATTGTTTTATATATCGAATTAAATTGGTCGTCAATCATAATCGTTGTTTGATCGATAAATAATTCGTTAAATGTTGTTTAGAAGGCGAGGTAGGGTGTCGACTATTCGTTGTCACCACATACCGCATACAATGTCTTTCAAGTCTTTCTCCCCATTACGATTCCCATTCCAGTTTTCATGCTCGAAATATGCTTTGTTGACATGTGTGTTTATGTTTGGGTGTTTATCGCACGCTTTGTTCGCATTTCTACCATATGCTAAACATTTCGCGGCGCTTGTATAATGCTCTTTTATTATTCGATTGTTAAAACATATTATAGTTCGTTTTCCTTTCGTTTCTCGAAAAAAAAACATACACAATAAATTATTAACAAATGGTTTCATTTTTGCTTCAGCTATGTAGGTAAAAATAGAAACTAACGTTTTTTGTTGTTTTTCTTTTGGCGTTTGTCGTGTTGGTGTTGCTGCTGCATTTCTAAACTCATTTCTGTTAATATTTATGCACGAATAGTTAATGATTTACGTTTTGCTGTTGTTGTTTGGCTTAGAATTGGAAAGTGAACTTTACAAAATTTCACTTGAATTATATAATTAATGCGTTTTTAATGATCATAAAAGTCAATTTCGCCAGCCAGAGATGGGTAAAGAGAAATAGAGATACATAGCTACAAATTGTCATAATTGTTCAACACTTACCCGCAAGAGATGCAATGTTAGAGGCAGCTGCAATCAACAGTAATAATCAATCAACGGTACACACAATACATATACATATATGTACACATATATATATAAGTATATATATACATATAAATGCGTATATATGTGTGTGTTACGCCACTGTGTGTGTTTGCAGCATATGCACTTTGACTTTGCTTTTGTAATTGTTAACAAACTTAAATGCCGTTAGACGACCACGTTGTTTAAGACACACTCTGTCTCTCTCTTCTGGAACTGCACTATAAAACAAAATAAATAAAAAGGAGAGCACATAAATAACACATGTACTATGTGCATACACATCTATTCTATATACATAAGAATTTGTATATATTTGAAGAAAAAAAAACACATTTATGTTTTATACACAGCTGGTGCAGCAACCACAGGCATCGACTGCGACGTCGGCAGCGGTGCGCACGTTAATTGCATTAGAGATTCGTATGCGTGTCGGGAATGAAGCCTTGCAAGACATCAAATTTAAAAAAAATAAATTCAACTAATTAGCAATCATTTGCGGCTTGAGCTTGTTTTAAGCATTTCTTTGGCACAAAAATTCCAATTAGACAAGAGCAGTGCAAATGCCATTTGTTATTGTTGTTTGTCAGCAGTCCCGTTATTTCTCATACACACACACAACACTGTCATAGCACAAAGAAACAGATAGAGAGAGGTTGAGAGGCAGACTCTGTGACCTCGTCTTCATCTCGGACTGCACTGCACGCTTGATAGCCAATTAATATTCATTAAATAGATTTCGATGATAATGTTGCTGTTGTTCTGTTTTATTTATAGACGAAATGCAACGCGACATACAAATAGGTCAGTATTGACAACAACAACGGTAAAGCCTTAAATGTATACTGTCAGAAACACATACGGACGCGTTCCTAATTGATTTTTGCCAATATTGTTGGTGCTATTATTGTTATTATTATTGCAGATGCCTTTGCTGCTCGTGTGTTACCAGCCTTAGCTTTGATTGTTTGTGTTTGCTGCAGCGGCGTCTGTTTCTGTTTGCCTTCGCTGCCAATGTGACCGTTCTTCGTTGTCGGTAAAATACCAACACGTGTCTCGAAATACCATATACACTAGTTTTGTTAAATTTATTTTGCAACAAAAAAAAAACACATTACATTAGATAAATTACCAACTAAATTATCAGATATGATCAGTCCTTCACCCGCTCTACGGTGTTTGAGTCGAAGGGTACCTCTTCCACTTTGGAAAATCCTGATAGACGTATAATTTTTCCGGAGCCTTCTACTCTAATATGCTTGGCAAATTGCTGTGCCGGTGACAGTGCCAGATCCTCCTCCGATTTGTAGCCATAGTATTTGGCCCAGTCGTTGCGACCGGTGAAGACCATGTAGCACACGAAGCCAAACGCTTGCCATGCTAGTATTGCATAGCCAATGCTTAGGCGGCGCTTCCACAAATCGGCACGATGCTCCGGTATCGGATTTGTGTGGCGACGTACGAAACGGCGAAGCCACTTCATTTCAAACAATGCCATTGTCTAGGTTTTTGCGTTGACTCTTATGTAAATATTTCCGATCTCGAATTTAGCAGCGCGATATACCGAATTGTAAAATAATGAAAAACAGCTGTTAGCTAATAGAGATGAGAAACACCGTGGTTGGCAGAGTTACCAATACCGGGCAAGATAGTCACAGTGTGGCTGTATTAAATGAATGTAAACAAATTTGTAAGCCTTTACATATGTAGTATGTCGATTGTTCTGGACGAAGTATCTAGACTGTTAGATTTTTCATTCCTTAATGTTATCTTAAAACAACAGTTGGATAATTGATATATTATTTAAATTTGTGGTTGCATTGGTCCCAATCACAGCTGCAGTTTACCGCCATTTGTCCAGGGTTCTCAACATTCTTGAAGTGTCAGCACTACCTGTTCGCCACTAGGTCTTGCCCATCAAAAATTGCCAATTAACCACAATGCAATGGTTAAAAAAATATCTATAAAACAATACAAGAATTTGAAATATTCATTTGTTGGCCGGTTGGTTGGTATTTAATTTGTAACAACGTGGCAACTCTGTCAAACAAACGGTGCTTCATAGAATGCAATGTTGTTTTTGTTATAACATAATATAACAAAAAAAAAAGAACTCCAGTTTTAATTTCATTTTTGGAAGTGATAATTTTATGAAGATACGTTCAGTTATAGCAAGCAATAAGTGAGTACATTCATTATACAATTTTCTATATACAAATGTGGTAAAGTAGGCTTTAATGATATTTTTATATTGTTGAACTCTTAGTACAGAAAGGAAACTCTATTTAGCGATTTGCTGCCAGACTGCACGATGCCCACTGCGCAGCAGACGCCTCAGCAGCAGCAGCAGCAGCAACTGACCAACGAGGAGAGCAATGGCGTCAATGAACCAAAAGTTGAGGACGATAATATGCCAAATTTGTCAACACTGTCGCTAGATGAACTGAAGCAGCTTGATCGAGATCCCGAGTTCTTTGATGATTTTATTGAGGAAATGTCTGTGGTACAGCATTTAAATGAAGAGCTTGATTCAATGATGAATCAAGTAGAGAACATATCGCGTAAGTTCGCTCCGAAATTTTGGACAATTTGACTCTAAAGCTACTCTATACACAGGTGAAAACGAAAGCAAGGGCACCCATCTAGTTGAACTAAAGAGACGGCTCAGCGACGACTACACGGCGCTTAAAACGCTTGGTGAAAAATGTGACCTATTGAACAAGAAATACTTGAAGAAATCGGAGGAATATGCACCACAGCACATTCGAGTAAAATGGACTACAGTTTTAAATGGTATTGATAATTCTAATAAGAAGATTTTCATACAGGAACTATTGCAAATAGCCGCCTCTAATGCGGATGCCGACTGTGATCGTCATGTGGAGCATTTCCTGAATGGTAAAATCGATGTGCAGACCTTTCTCAATACGTATCAGAGCTCAAAGAAGATTAGCGCTGAGCGCAAAGCCAAGGAAGAACGGCTGGGCACCCAGCTAACCGCATTGGAACGTGCAGGCATTTAAGTAGATGATTATGCACCTGCTATTGCTCGTCTACTTAAGCCCAACTCGTTATTGTGTTTTACTGTTTTGTTCAATACAAAGCCGCAATATATAGAGATTAAGCAAATAGCAACGTATTGTAGAACTTGCTCGCTCGAGAAACGTGTAAAATCTAGTTATATTTATATATATACATCATTAATTATAGCAGTTAAGTCGATAGGGCAATCAAATTATGGTTCTTAGTTATATTTTACTATGGAATTTGTGTAATAATTAACAGTGTATTGTAATTGTCGCTAGTTGTGGTGCGACTGTCCAAATAATTTATTACCCAACAGAATATGTGCATGTACTAAGGAATTATAAAAGTGTATGACCTAAATATATTTACAAAGATTAACGTTAATGCGTGCGTGCAGATTATATTTTAGAATTTTAACCAAAGCAACTCGTGTGAATAAAGGCATATACATATGTTTAGCCCCAGCTGTCGTGCTTACTTGTAATATATTGTATTACAAATTTTCACTAGAAACATATGTAGATACAGCAATTATTTCGCTAAATTTAAGTTGGTCGGTTGTTTTCGGAATCTAAGCCCGCATATTTACCTTTGCATTAGTTTTCCACATCCTGCCGCCAATTGCCATCGCTAAGCTGTTGGTGTTTTATTAATAACACTGCAGCAAATGTATCGATTGGCTATGTATCGATAAAAAATTAAAATAAAATTAACTAACACTTGACTATTAAAACAGTGCTTATAAACGTCAGCATTTGCGTTCCCGCCAATATATGTTTACATTCGCAGAATACACTTCATTTGTGCGGCAATCATTGCGAACATTATAAGTTATAACAAATCGGATAAATTACATATTAAGTATGGGGAAGTGCACTCTTTGTCGCTCGAGCACAGATGACGAACTGCGTCTTGGCAAGTTTCATAGCCGTGGTAAAATTGATGTGCATGAGAACTGTTTGGTATGTAAAAACAATGGTGCTCAAAACAAAACACAATATTTACGAACACAATCAATTGCTATAGTATTTGAGCTCCAATCTGGTACAACGGGGCAATGGGAGCAATGACATTTTGAATTTTACTGTAAAGGATATTCAAGCCGAATCGGAACGCACCAAATATTTAGTAAGTTTTATACAGCTGTAATTAATAGCAAGCCGCCATTCTGCCTTACACAGGGTGGCTCAGCTACCTGCTCAATTTTAACATAATATATATTGTTTTTTGTTTGTTTTTTTTATTAATTGCAGTTTTGTTGCTACTGCCGTAAGGCGGGCGCCAACATTGGCTGCTGCAAGCCCGGTTGCCGCAAAACGTTCCACACACATTGTGGGCTAAATAACGGCTCACAGAATCAATATGTTGGCACATACAAATCGTTCTGCAATATACACACTGAATCCTACCCAGAACGTCCCAAAGCGAAGGAGATATGTGTGATATGCTTTGATCTGCTGGTGAAGCCGGGGAATACGTTTTGCTGCACCAAATACATGCACGGCAAGTGCTGCAACAACGGCTGGTACCACAAGGACTGTCTGCAGCATTATGCCAACTCGGCTGGCTATTTTTTCAAGTGCCCGCTGTGCAACGATGCTGAAAGATTCCGTTTAGTTGCATACTGGGGCATCACAGTGCCGGATCGGTAAGTTATTGTAATTAAGACTTGCGGTGTCATCGAAAAGTCGAGGTTTTTAACTTGGTTCATTTTGCAACAGTGATGCCTCTTGGGAGGAGAATGATGCGTTCGCCGATCAGCTTGTAGTCCCGACCCAGTGCACTGCCCAAAAGTGCGTTAGTGCCGGTGGACGCGAAGGCAGCACACTGACAATGTTCTACTGCGTTCTGTGCGGCTCGAATCCTATGCATACGGAATGCACGAATCTTAAGGATGAAACCTATCGGTGCAATGATTGCAGTGCGGTTCAGTATAATCCGTCCATGTATGAGACTGATGAAACCGATGATGATGATGTCCACGTCGACGACGATGACGATGATGATGATGATGATTTGGATCCACTTGAAATATTTGCTGCGATGGGAACTCCCGCCGTAGGCAGCACAACGACTCGCCAATTAAATCGTGTTCTCCCACAGAGCAGCAACATCAAGTATTCAATAGCCGATTCCGACTCAGAATCTGATTTTGAATGGAATGATTTCACATTCCGCACATCACGCTGCACAAATGAGAAGGAGAACGTGACCAGGGCAAATGCAATAATAACAACCACAACACGACCCAACACAAATGCGACACTGCGCAACACTGCACCACTGCGCACGTTGAACCGTCAAACATTCCCCACGCTGATGATGGCTGGTGGTGGCCAACGTAACGGGGCTCAACTAACTCGTTCAAGTCTGTCCGCTGAGTCCCGACACAACAAAGACGCTGGGTCTCTGCGTTACCGTACTCGTTCGCGTTCAAGGCAAACTATTGCCAGATCGTCAACAGATGAAATGGAGCTGGAGGACAAGTGTAAAGAGCAGCCAATTGCACGACGCACCCGTAACTCGCCAAGCGCAATCGAAAAGGATACATCTCCATTGATCTCGCGCGGGCGACGGCGCACACGCACCATCGCGGGGCAGAACCTAAACAGTGGACTCCATTCGCCATTCGATATATCATGTGTGGCAAATCGCACACGCGCTCGTTCCCGCAAGTAATGACTGAATGGGTACTAAATCCATAAGTGTCTTGTAAAATAATTTAATTTAACCATATCATCTTTGTACATAGCAGTTGCTTGTTAAAGCATATTTTTGTCTTAAGTGTGTTAAATTAGGTTTTTTATGTATAATATTAAGTTGGTTGAGAGAAGAAAACTAAGTGAAAACCTAATTTTTTTTTTAAATAAGTGTTGTTAGTTCTCTATTACACATACCATCAAATCAAGAATTTTGTATTTTCATTTTTGTAAGCTTAAGAACAATGTTCCAATGCATTCCTAGTATTTTGTTATAAATTAGACAGAGAAAGAGAGATAAATGCGTCCTGCTCATTTTCATAGCAGACAGAAGAGTACACTCGAAGTGCTTGTGGAACATTCAAGAAAAATACATATATTTATAAATAACTGTAAATGCATATATTTTTTGATTTGATAACTAAAAACTGTTAGTTTTAGTGTGTTAATGCCATCTAATAAATATGTGATGCTAGGAAATAGTGAGAACGTGGCATAAATGACATGAATACTCGTAATCGATATCACAATTGTTCTTGTCCTAATCGATGTTATAGAGATGCCATCTGGAAACTTCGATTTTAACCGCGCTAATAAGTGTTGCTTAGTTTTAAGAGGTACTGGATATTTCCAGGTTATATATGTTCAAATCATGGCACATAACAAATATATTATTTGCTCTTTTTATATTAAGATTGCATTCAATAAGAAATCGTTAAAGTTTTGGAATCCAACTGCTATCGATGATATACTCAGTGCTGTAAAAGGTCGCACATATTTGTATATCGTTGGCAATATCGATACATCGATGTATTTTTTATATCCGTACTCCATTCCATATATATACGTGCGTTAGTAATAGTTTACTCATAAAATGCATATAATTTAAGAATATGAATTTAATTAAGTTATTGAAGCCAGTCAGCAGAGCAGGTGCAAAATAAACCAAATATAATTTAAACACAAGAGTGCATATATGTGTGTGGAATTTTAACTTACAACGTCTAATAATAAAAGGCATAATTCGCTGGCATTGTGCGCAAGAAAGAGATAGGGCAAAAGAAAGAAGTTGCTAATTTATTGTGCGTGAGCGTTGTGTTTGCTGTCAGTGTGACATTAATAGCTTTGTAATTGTAATATTTTTAAATACGCATAGCAGATAGTAGCCAAAATATTAACGTATCAACATTAGCAAAAGTTCAACTACGCTTCCGACACACCAGCAGCAAAAGAAACAGCAACAACAATAACAACAAGTCGGCCTCTGTCTGACATTTCATGCTTTGCGGCCCCTATCCAAATTGCTGATAAATACATGTACATGCAAAAGCAACACCAACATCAGCAGCAGCAGCAGCGTCAAGTGCTTTAACGCCGGGAATTAAATAACAAGTAACAAACTATAAACTCTTCGTACAACAACAGTAATAACAATAGCGAGCTTATCACACACACACACATCCGCAGCAGCAGCAGCCAGAAGAACAACAGTTTATCATATTTGAGCAACCGGCAGCAGCAGCAGCCACCATCAACGCTGTGAGTGCGAGCGAGAGGCAGAGGCACACGCCAGTGTATATGTTTGTGGGTGTGTCTGTCTGTGTGTGTGTGGGAGCAAGGCACAGGCACGGCTAAAAAACACCAACAACAACAAAAAGCAGCAAGCAGTAGCCGGAGCAGCAGCAGAATATTTTCACAAATTTTTGCATTGTTCAACTGGACGGCAGCGTCAACGCCGCTGCCAGCGTTAACCTCAACGCCGATTAACTGTAAATTACAACAGCAGCTCCAAAATGGCACGCCACTTTGATCATATGTTCAAGCTGCTTATAATTGGCGACAGCGGTAAGTGCAACTGCAAATATTTCCATACACACACGTACATACTAACACATGCATGCATGTATTTTGTACATACAACATGCTTGCATTTTTCATGCATCTTTTGCACCTGCCCAACAGTAAAGCAACGTTAAAAATAGCAACAAACCAATAAAAAAAACAAAAAACAGGGAAAAAGCCTGCACTGCTTGTGCTCAATCCCAATTTGTGCATTTGCCTGGCCCACGGCTTTTTTGGCTTGTGTTTTTGACCGATTTCTTTGTTTGGGTTTTGTGTTTGCGTTTTATCTGAGCCCAATCAGCTGTTTTGTCTCTTTCTCTGTCTGTTGGCGCAAACTGTAATGTAAAACAAATTATAAATCTGTTTGCGGCTGCTGTTTCCTAACCCCCCATTTTTGCTACACGTTCCATCCATTTAGCATTAGCGTGCTCTTTCTCTCGCACTATGCACGCTTATAGCTTATCGATATACAATAAAGATTAATCAATATATATACATATGTATATATTTATGTTGTGAATGAAAATGAATTCTTTTCAATTCGACATCCTGTATTTATAAGTGTTGCCAGATCTTGAAATAATTGACTTTTGCTGTTACATAAGGGGACTTCAAACTCGAAATACGAGTATCGAGTACATTTGCACTTATATGGAAATATAAAATTTGTTGATCATTTTATTCTTAAATTGCATTTGCCACAAAAGTGTCGGTTATTGCGAACTCATAAACAGCTCGAAATGCAATCGAGTTGTCGCCTCTGCTCAGTTTTAAGGGCGTTTTGAGCAACTGCAATTGTAATTAGAGAACTGCCAGCTACCAAATGATTTGTTGTCGCTGTTTGTTGTTGTATAAACAGAAAGTTTCAACGATTGTTATACACTTGCACTTGCAAAGCAAAAAATGAAAAAAAAAAAAAATCCACTCACACAATTACTACATAATTGCATGAAACTGATTTGTACACGCCTCCCCCAATTTCTTCAATCTATTCATCTCTATTCGTGCATTGTTGCAGGTGTAGGCAAATCTTCGCTCCTCATACGATTTTCAGATGACACATTCTCGGGCAGTTATATAACGACAATTGGAGTGGATTTTAAAATACGCACCGTTGTGATCGATGGGCTGCGGGTAAAGCTGCAGATCTGGGATACGGCTGGACAGGAGCGCTTTCGCACCATTACCAGCACCTACTACCGCGGCACCCACGGCGTGATCATTGTCTACGATGTCACGAATGGCGACTCCTTTGCGAATGTGCGCCGCTGGCTGGAGGAGATACAGAACAATTGCGATGTGGTCAACAAAGTATTAGGTGAATAGTAGTTGGGACAATATAATCTAAACATTTGTATATTGGAACTCTCTCTTTTTTTCAATTGCTCTTACAGTGGGCAATAAGAATGATGATCCGGATCGCAAGGTGGTCATAACAGAGGATGCGCAACGCTTTGCGCGGCAAATGGATATTGAGCTATTCGAGACATCCGCCAAAGACAACCTCAATGTGGAGGATATGTTTCTGTCCATAACGCGACAGGTGCTGAATCATAAGCTGCGCACCGCCTCCGATGAACAGCAAAAGGATCGCATCCAAGTAAAGCAAAGCAAGAACAAAGGAAAAACCAACAAATGTTGCAGTTGAAAGCGACGTCGTGGCAGCAGCAGCTGCAGCTGCAGCAGCAGCAGCAGCAATCCGATGTGGATGAGGATACGTTGTGGGGGCGCGTAGTACAGGTTCATAAGGCACACACTCGAACACATACACACAGAAACTTAAACACAGATAGACAAACATATGTAGCTTACACACACATACACATGCACAAGACAAATTTTTTGTTTTTTTTTTGTTTTAATTTTGTAATGCCTCAGAGCCGTTAAAAAAAAAGTGTAAAGCGCAATTAATTGTATTTAGCAATTTATATACATATTATACACATACACATATATATATATATTAATGTATATATATATAGTAAACAAAAAACAAATTGCATATTTATACAAGAATATATTTATATTTAAAAACGGAAACAAAACAAAGAAATTTGTATTTACGATAATAACAAGAAAATCAAACAATAATTGCGAATACGCAGCCGACAAATTGTGAACAAATGTGTATGGTTTTTATCATTTACCTATCGCTGGCATTCGTCATGGAAAGTTTTTACACGCAGACTAACAAATATCAACTCAATATTGTATAAAATTAAAACATATTTTTACATAGTTGCGACTATTTTTTTTTTTTACAGTTCAGTTAGGTGATCTTTGTGGCAACTTCATCGATATAGAATGAACTCCAACAGTTCCACAAAGCCAGCGAAAAGCCAACTACTTTTGCTATTTGACGCCCATGTAAAACATTTCACTACCCATTTAGTTGAATAATTAACATTAATTACTAATTTAACTTTCGTGACTATGTAAATTAATTTGCATTTGTTTTCGAAGCGCCAATTAGATATGATACTGATATTACATAATATTGTTTATGAGCGTATTTTATATTTTTATATAGACCTATAAATCAAAGTCGTATACATATTTGTTGTGTTTCAACACCAAATATAATTATTTAATGGACAGACTTTTAGAAAGTGCGGTAAATCCATAGTCAATTATATATGTATACGTATATATATATATATATTGACTATGGATATTTATAAATATTCATGCATACATACCATATTAAAAATATACAGAATGATTGATATGAACGTTATCAAATAAAGTAACTAATTCAAATTTTAAAGAACTTTCGAAATTTATTACTAAATTGGCTAACGCTTTTTCACATACATAATATATCTTCAAATTCGATTTGCAAATTTATAAACTAAATTGGCTTGTAGAAATTTATAGAATTTTAGCTTGGCTACGCTTAGACCAGAAATTGTTACTATTTTCGAGAGAAGTAAGCTCATTTTTCGTATTCAGTTATTCAGTTTATCGATGTCTGTTATCGATAACATTTGTTCTAGGTTCTAGACAATCGATTTCTTCTCCATCAAATGTTGACAGGGTAGAAAATAATGCTCGGTTTTTACCTTCCGATTTGTTAATCGATATGTGTTATCGATAAAACAAATATATCGTTAACAAAATCGATGTTAACAGACAGTTTCAAGAATATTTGATTGCAATTGGCTGCTGTATAGGCGAATGAAATTACCTGGTGGAGTATTCATATGTCTGTCAGTATATAGCTGCAATTGGAACGATCGTTCAGTAAATACTTCTTGAATTTGAAGCACTAAGCAACATTCGACTATTATATCACAAAAACCCGATTTTGAGCTGTATGAAGAGGAAGAAAAAACGGCTATATTGGCTTGCCGAAGATAAGGTATACCTCTGAGGAGGATTGTAAGGCTGATTTTGTTGAAGATTAATTGAAGAACAATATTTTTCTAAACGAAAACTCATTTTGCGGCCTATTTTTCCAAGAGCTATAGCCCGATGTTGCTAGAATTTAGTTCACAGCACTTAAATTCCAAGTTTGGTTAAAATCTCTTGAAAACCCCAAGTTTTTCATTCAATAGCCTAATGCTGGAACTTTTTATATGTTCTACATTAAGACATTTCTATCTATCGACGCGGCTGTTGCTACCGATCAAATATATGTATACTTTATGTGATCGGATATGTCTTCCTCTACGTTTTACGTTTGACTGTAAAAGAAGAGAATTGTTTTTTGGTTTTATAATACATAATTATGTAGCTCTTTTTATTGTAATGTAAGCCCAAGTTTGTCAGTGAATTAGGTGCATTAATTTAAATATTTGTTGTTCTGTTTATTAATTATTTCGATTGGAAGCTGAGTTGAGCTTGAGCCGTGTGTTGAAGTGTTGGCAGGCAGTGCGGCGTTTGCTATCCACCCACGCAGAGATGGGCCAGCGCTCAGTGGTATTTGGCCACTGGGAAGGTGCGTGTCTGGCGGCAGGAGATGAGCGCATCACCCGACTGGCCATGTGGACAACGGCAGACGGCGAGATGTGCCTTCGCCTCGCAGCTGGCGCCCGTGGCGCATTTGCCAATGCACGGATCGACGCACTGATAGTTGATGCAGGCCCTGTGGTCCGGGCACTCGTTGTTGCTCAGGCACTCACCCTAAAATACAGAGAGTATGCGTGTATATCTGAGCCGGTAGAGAGATCTTGAGCTCTGACTTACGCGTGAGCAGTGGGAGAGTGGATTGCCAGTGTGGCCCGGCATGCAATTGCAGACGGGTCGCTCGCGTCCGGTATTGTCGTGGCCGGGCACACAGATGGCATTGGTGCCGCACGGATTCGGCTCGCACAGATCCTCCTTGGTGAAGGGGCGACAGTGCACGAACGGATCGCCCGTCATGTCGCGTGGGCAACTGCAGACGGGCGTCAGGCCGCGCAGATTACAATCGGCACCAACGCCGCAGGCGCCATCGCACGTATTCTTGCAGATGCCATAGAAGCAGGCCGGCCTGCCCGCCGGGCAGTCCGAATCACCATAACACTCCGGCCGGCACTCAGTGTACGGACTGCCAATATAGCCCTTGGGGCACTCGCACAACGCCCTATGATTGGACACCGACTTGCAGTTGGCCCCGATGCCGCACTGTCCACAGGATGGCACACACTTGTAGTTGCTGCACATATCCCGGCCGCCGCAGTCGCCGTCCTGCTCGCACTCGTGGCGGCAGCCGCTCAGCGGATTACCCAGAAAGCCATGCACGCAGGAACAGGTGGGCACTCCATTAATAATCTCGCATTTCGTGTTAATGCCGCACGGGCTCGGATGACACTGTTCCTCTGTGAATTCGTGAAGGTTAAAGGTAAGTTAGTTATTATATAGAGTATATTGGTTCCTTATATCAATACCCCGTCCTTACATTTCTTAAAAGCTATAAAATCTACATTATTTGGAGAAATTATGTCGAATGTATTGAGTTTCAAGACTACTCCACCTTACCGAAGAGCCAATCCCGACTAACTTCGATGCTTAGAGTCGAATCCTTATGAAATTCTCGTAAATTGATAAAAGTATCTACCAAAGACTTAACTCTATATGGCAGAATATAAGAATTCGACTTTTTCAATTTTGAGAGAAACGCTTAGAGGTTAACGAAAATTCAAATATTTCCTGATACCCGTGAACATATTTCCATGAGATATGTCTAAAAAAATACCTGCTACCAGATCGATAATTATAAATATTAAGAATATGACAATTCTTTCATTTTATTCGATGATTAATGTGAATATTCATGGGAAGTAGGTGAAAAATGGGTGGAAAACTAAAGACAATCCGTAAATAATTCCAGGAAAATATAAATAAATATAAACAATTAAAAAAATAAAATAAATAAATATAAACTCTCCCTTTTGTATGTATCTGCAAGTGTATTAAATATGCGGATTGCAAAAAAGAACTCATTCATCTACCTCGTTTTTCGTACTAAAGTGAAGAATTGTCTATTATATATTCTATAGTTTAATTAAAAACTGCAAATTGCCTGCGACTTTTATGGGAAATATATCAATTGAATACATTTTTATTTTTTGCCTAACTCTGTCGGCGGCAACTAAATAAATTTCTAATTTGCATGAAAATTTATTTGAATGCTGATTTATATGCATTTACAATTAGCATTTAGCTCAGGCCCATAAATTGAGGGCATGTGCAGGCAGTTGCCCACACATGATACCCTATATGAGGACACATGAGACGCCTACTTGAATATATATGTATCTATATACGATATATACATATATATGCATAACATTACGTAAATGTGTATATAGATGGGCCGATGGTCAGTTGCGGAGCTGTGAATAGTTTAGTTAGCGGCCAAAAGTCGGCCACATTTGAGTTATAACAAATTCATGCATTGCCCGTTGGCGAGGGGAGGGTAGGGGAGGAGGGATCTTTGGGATACGCGTGCGTATCAAATTGAGCAAATCTATAAATAAATATTAAGCATTTAGCTGTTAGTTGACTTTGTTGGCCATTGCAGCGATTATGGCCGAACTTTTGTCATGGAAACAAATACCAATTTGGAAACTTGCCTCCATTATAATCATCATCAATGAAGGAAATACAGCGAAATATAAGGAACTTCAACTGGCTGGGCATAGGGCAAATAAAAAAGCAAATTATAAGTAAAAATTATGCGCATAAATGAGCTTTGACTACTTATGTATTGTGAACTGGCCCAGGAGCGACTCGAGCCGGTCGAGCTAGCGGGGCTCCGATTTATTCAGGGGCCATTTCAAGTGGACCTGCGCCCCCAATTCTCCCCAATTATTTGCGCTTTGTTGCTGGGCTCAAGTGCGTGTGAGGATAAGTACGAGCTGTGCGACTGCCCCCTTAAGGGGTCAATGCCGGGTCCTCCGGCGACCTGCACATGAATTACATGACCCTGCATAAATCACACAATAACCGAACAACAACGAAAACAAAACAGCCGCTTATTAGGGATACGCTAATGTATACCCTATGCCAAATTATCATATTTATTATTAGAAATATTATAAGCGTCAGCTCCGCAAAACCCAAAATAAGTATTCGCCGCTGCGGTTCGCGGCTTGCATCAAGTCCCCGCCTTGGAATAAATGTGTTTCGTCTACGTTTTAATAGAATATTTGAATTTTTAATTACTAATTGCCCGTTCTACTGAAAATATTGCAGTTCCTAAATATTTACACACATAAGTTGCGGGCTAAATTTGTTCTCTACCCAAAATTGGCATCTGGCAGGAATTTTTAGGTATATCCAATGTTTTGGCAATAAACTATTTAAATATTTTTATATGAAGTTTTTTTTTGTAACAAACTACTTTTGAGCAACATAATGATTGCTTCGGGTTTCATTCGATTTGGAAATGAGGTTTTTTGCAGCTTCGGCTTAAGCTCAATTTATAGCCTTGAGCCTAGACAATGTTATATTTATATATATTATATTTAGCCTGGGATTTGAGCCCGAATCGTGATTATTTAGCTTGTATAGCGAGAACTGAATTATTGTCCAAGTATATTTTTGGACTTAATTGAAAATGTGTTCAGCTAATAGATATTTGAATGTATCTGAGACATCTTAAATGTTGAGTTTACTTTAGGTTTTCAATCATGGATGGCAGACTCCCAAAAGTATTTCATTTGGAAGTTTAATTAAGATTAATTTTGCATTAATTAGTTAGCAAAAGTGAATACCAAGTCTTCGAGCTAACTTCCAGATAATTGTGTAGC